ACAAATTTAAATATAATTTATATATTTAAATATAATATTATTTATATATAATTTATTATAAAATTAGTTACATGTAATAAATATTTAAGCATAAAATACTAGTTTATGCATAAAAAAAAACTTCACATCTATTAACTCTTTTTGCTTTAACCTCCTTGAACGATGCTCCCTTCTCTCTCGCGCCCTCGCTTTTTCCCCATCCCGCTCCTCCTCACGTGCATTGGTAGAACCATCCGCAATATTGAACTACACTGTCTACACATGCTTCTCGAGGTTTTAAAATTTTCTTTTTTGAAATATATATTATATTATAATGGTACAAATGTAAATAAGTGTAAAAAATATTTTCTTTCATCGATTCTAATTTGAGCCGATATAAAAATAAAATATTTTTATATTATTTAATAACAGGGTAGAAAAGTTACTTCAAATTAAAATATACTACGGTATTAATTTTTACATCAATAGTACATATTAAATCATCTCTGGTTTTTCTCCATTACTCACGCCTAATTTTTTCCCTGGTCGGATGTACACTTCTTTTCATTTTCAAAATAACAGAAATACAAATGAAATAAAATTAAAAAAATTAAATTCTACAAAAAAAATTTAAAAAAATATATTAAACAGGAATTCTACAGTTGGTGCCTCAAAGTTAGCAGCCGACGAAGGTTCCCGTGCCAATTCATTCTCTCGTAATGTTGACTAGAAACTGACAGACATATCTTTGTCCTTTTTTATATAAACAAATGCATCTCCCTGTCATTAACACAAAACATTAGCCAACAAGCATGATTTGGTAGGTTTACCAATCTATTGTAAAAGTAACAGTTAATTATGCAATGCATTCACTCTATTCCCCTAGGGAATCTAGCCTTGCCACAAGTGGTGATTATAGGTCAATTAAGGCCACAAAAGTTACTGGTGATTGGTGAACAATGATTGAACCTCAATTATTTCATAATCAATACCCAACACCAATTGTACATTACAAGCATTGACCACTGACAAGGAGATTAACTCCACCACTTACTCATGGATTCGGTTGCTTGCCAACAAAGGCTTTAGTTGAATTTAATCAGGTTTTAACAAAATCAACGCCGTCACGCTTCCTTTTGTTTGACTTTGAAAAGAAGCATATCTGAGCCCAACCCTTCTTCTGCTTAAGTGGCTGTGATTTAACATCCTTCTTCTCTACAAGCTCAGCCATGTACTGGACAACCGCCTATGATGCACCGTCACATGAAACATGAGATTCACAATTTCACATGGCAGAAGGATTTTTATTAGCACAAAAAGAACTAGAAGAAAAAATGGCTTGTTTGATATGAGAAAATATAGCCTGTTTTTATTTTTTATTTTCAAATATTTCTGTAAGAAATAATGAAAATAAAAAAAAAATTATTTCCAATGTTTCTTATGCAAATTTTTTAAAACAAAAAATAAGTAAAACTAAAATGACATTTTTGTAATTAAAAGTAAAAGTAGAAAATATTTTCTCCTCCCTCCTTATTTCGTGATAACTAATAAGCATTGATTTTCAAAATTAGGGACTAAAGTAAAATTTTGGTAAAATCATACTATTATACTGGCACAAACAATATAAAAAATTAAGGGTAGATTTAATTTCTTTCTCATTTTTTGGTTTTAAAAATTGTTTTCAAAAATAATTTCATACTACTCGGTCAATTTTTTGTTCAAAATAAATATTTTAAAAACTTAAATAGAATTAGGAGATGTTTTCTCATTCTCTTCATTTATGACTTATCTAGAACAGTCCTGCATGTGATAAGATATGAACTTGGCATGAGTATATGGTTTTCTTCTTTTCTCTTATTTGTGACTGAAAACAGTTTCTAAAAATAGAAATCAAGGTAGTTTAGTCGAGAAAGCTAGTTACCTGTGCCCCCTTTTCAGCTACATGTCTCGGAGGGACTTCAAGAGGATTCTCTTCCACTTTCAGGACGCGTAACCGAGTGAGCATCCTAAAAGAGTCAGGAAGGACCCGAATTTGATTATTGCTGATATCCAACTCCTCAAGCATTTCAAGGTTCCCAATGGACCTCGGCAAGGATCTCATGTCAGCAAAGTTGTTTCCTATGTTCATCTTGACAAGGGATGTAGCAAAACACAAGCTCTCAGGCACATACTCAAGCTCATTGAAGCTGACATTCAGCTCCTTCAAGTTCGTCAGAGACGACATCGTGGTAGGTAGCTGTTTAACGTTGTTGTACCTCACAGACAAAACCTCAAGACTCTCAATCTTCCCCACAGCTTCAGGCAGTGCCTTGAGTCTGTTATAATCTGCACAAAGCTCCCTAAGAGAACAACAACGACCAATCGAATGCGGAATCTCTTCTATGTCGTTTGTCTCCACATTCAATATCTTAAGGCTTACAAGAGACCCTATGGTATCAGGAAGCACTGAAAGCTGGTTGGAGCTCAAATCAAGCTCCTCAAGACGCACCAATCTTCCCAAAGAATCTGGTAGAGATGATAACTGGTTTCCCCCAACGTTTAAATACACAAGACACGAGAGATCTCCAACACACTCCGGAAGCTCCACGATTTTATTCGAATGCAAATCCAAACTTGTTAAGGAAGAAAGACATCCGAGTGTGGAAGGCAGAACCGTGATTCGATTCTCAGATAAATCCAATTTGACTAAACTCGATAGCTTCCCTATTGAATCAGGAAGCCAATCAACTTGGTCCATTAACTTGTTCTGTAACATGAGCTCGCGGGTACCTTTCTTCGCAGAAACTTCAATTAAGCTAGCCAATTTTATCAAACTTAACTTATCACCACCCTCTTCACCTACAAGATCAAAACCCAATTATAGAAGAAGCTATTGTTGTTAGCCAAAAGAAACGGAACAAAACATAGATGCAGTATCCAATTAAGCTATTATTGTTCTCCACGTAACTTATAGAGATCCTTAATGCAAATATTTATTATCCAGATTACTAAAGTAAAACTTCAATTATGTTAATTACTGAAAGAACAACATCAAAATCATCTAGGAAATTTACGTTGATCATATATTGATCACAAACCTCATTATCTTACATTGATTTTTAACCCAAAAATTATTACCAAGTATACTCAAAACTTGAATTTTGATTAAAACACGCATCCAAAGATAATCAATATCAAAAACAAATAGCTATATCCAAGTTTTGTTCATAGAAACAGTTGAAAACCAGATACCTGAATTGGACGCGGGCTTCAACGAGGAATCAAGCAATTGCGGTTTAGACGAGACAACGGGGCGAACATCAGGGAAGAGCGCGGGCTTCGTCTTACTCATATAACTATCATCTTTGGAGAACAAAATCTCCGAACTCTTCGCACGCTCTTTCTTGAACGGAGAAACCGAAACGGAGGCGGCGGAAGTTTCCCGTTTGGAAACCGACGCTTTGGCGTTGGAGCGCGCGGCAACGCAGTTGGAAGCCCTCTGAATCAAATCGTCGAACAGCACGTGCACGTTTTCGAGATCGAGGAGTTTGAGAGGCTCACGCTTCTGCTCCCTGCTCTGGAAAAACACGACGTTCTTCTGCATCTCCTGCAGCACCGCCAAGAGCTCCTCCGGCACGTGCGAACCCTTGTGCTGCGTCGCCGCCGCCGCCGCCGACGCTACGGCCTCGAGCTTCGCCTGCTCCTCCCTCTCCACGTTCGCGATCACCGTCCTCGCCGCTTCCACTTCCTCGATTCCCGGCCGAGCCGGTAGCGATCTGTGCAGCCTCATTATCTCCTCCACCACCTCGTCCACGGATCGCCCCGGTGACAGGTCCATTTCGGATTGAGAGCACGCAACGACTCACCGCAGGCAGGCACAACTCAATTTTGCTTCCTCGCGTTTCTAGAAGGAAAGAGTATATAATAAACGGTAACACTTCACACGCTACCCACCAACGAAGCGAAACTTGAGAACACCACCTGAAATTAAAAATATATATATTTAATTTTAGTAATTTAGAAAGGAAAATAGAAACATAGAAAGGGCACGGCTTTTGTTCGGTTTCGGTTTTCTTCAGAATTTGCCTTAACTACTGACTCCGTTCGGTTCCGTGGTCGTTCCTCGCAGACATCAACGACTATTTCCATGCCTTCGTTTCTGTTGGAAATAAAACGAGACATTGATTTTTTTTTCTTTGAATTTTGTAGTGTTCGGCACTTTTAAGGATAACAGCAACACTGGTTGTATTAAATTCAAAGGGCAGCTTTCGTGTGAACGGATTTGTTTGAAGGAGAGAGGGGGAAAAATGCAGGGAGGAAAGAGTTTGGTGGAAAATTCAAATAAATAGCGTGAAATTTGATTAGGAAAGATACCGGTTACTATGCTACACTTACATTAACTACTTCCACTCTTCTACTACTTGTTGCTTCCCTTCTTTTGTCCAGCTCCACTTTTTCGTCTTACAAAATAATTATTGTATATTTTTTTAATCAAGGTCCATAGGAATAAAAATGTATATGATTTTTTTAAGTATAGGATAATTTATTTTTTTCTATATTAGGATTACTTAATGATGTATAAAAGAAGAAAAAAAAAGAATTAGTATTAATATATGTAATAAAATATGCATTTATTTTGTATTTTCTTGAATTAAAATATGTTATTTTTAATTTTTATAATCATAGCATAGATAAATGTATTTATAGCGGAAGCAATAAAATAATTTATCTAGTATATTCTTATTGGAGAATCGATTTATGTGGATAATAAAATAATATTTGATTAATAAAAATTAGATTGTGCGTGAATGGATATAAATTATTCTATTTATATTTTAAAATATTAAAATTATTCTTAATTATATATAAGTGATTTAGTTTAATTTATTTTTATGTTAAATATATGTGTCATAATTACTTATTTTAACATAAATATATTTATAAATTTATTTTTTAATATGAGTATATGTTTTAAAATTACTTAATTTTAGTCTTATTTTATTTTGTAAATGTCTACTAAATGAATACTTGTACTAAACAAGAAAGATAATAGAAGGCATTATCTGTCGTTAATCTACTTTGTTGTCATTTCTAATATGAACCATGTCGATGAATCATAAATAAAAAAGTATCCAAACTTAGAAATAATGACTAATATCTTTTATTTTATACTCAAAATTAAAATTTGAATACCAAATACCTTGTTTAAAACATGCAAGTTTATATCAAATTATGAATAACCTAAATATCAAACATAAATAAAGGAAAAATATCAAATTATAACTTGTTTGAAAAAGAAAATACAAAAAGAGAGTAGTTGCCAATTGAAGACAGAGCATTTTGTTGACAAACAGCAAACGAGCAAGTGGAGTGGATTAGCAAATGGTGATGCTGGAACAGAGAGTGCAAACAGCAAAGAGAAAATGAGTTGAAGGGGTTATGAGTAGGAAGGAAAAATATGAACCATCACCCAACTTTGAGTGTGGATTGAGATGTAAAAGAAACAACCTTAGAAAAATAATAAAACAATTTACCAGAGATCCTTAAGAAAAAGAAGTTACATATATTTTTGATTAAATTAAAAAAAATAATAAGATGAAAAAGAAAACAAATATTTAAATATATATGAGAATAGTAAATGCAGGAGGTGGAGGGGGGACACGTGGTGGTTCACAAGGCCAGCAGAAGCCAGCTGGCAATGGAAATTGCTATTGCTGTTGCTATTCACACAATAACCGTTTGCTTTTGGTAGCAGAGAAAATAGAAAGGTTATTGTGCTCTATGAATTTATGAAAATCTGATTGGTATCAATTCCATCGCTCTCAGCCTCACGTGCTGTGTAAATTACCTGTCCCTTCGTCCCTTTCTCCCTTCAGGCAAAGCCCATGCACATGTTGCCGCTCCTCTTTCATCTTTTCTACACGTATACACTCCACAATCATATTTAACCACAATTTTATTTTTATACAACAAACTCTCTACTTTTTATAACCATACAAATATATATATATATATATATATA